ATAGTTAAAAAAATCAATGTTTTTCTGGTATTCTCTGCTTTCAGTCAGGATCCACCTGACATCAGCAACAATATCCCATATCCCAATGATATGACTTGTTCTAAATACAACTTGAATTTCTGGACATTCTCTGTCAAAGTGCTGTTCTAGTACATCCTGAGGGGCTGGAAGGCACTAAAAACATGAGAAACTGCTACCAACAACCATTAACAACTGGAACAAGGACTGTAAAAAATAGGGATCTAATTGGAAGTTGTCTAAAATGCAATGGAATGCATAAAGACTGACATTCTAGGTATTAGTGAGCTGAGATGGACTGGTATTGACTATTTTGAATCAGAAAGTTGTGATTATGCTGGGAATAAGAAATAGAAGTGTCCAGTTCGAATCCACCAGAGGCTCTGCCGGAGAAGGAGGCGCAATATCCTCCTGTACCAGTCAGATCTGATTTGACGGTACACGCACACAAAATAATAATAAAAAAAAATAATAAAAAAAAAGAAATAGAAGTGTTGCATTCATAGTAAAAAAGAACACTTAACGAAACAGCCTGAAGTAAATGCTGTGACAGGATATTAGCGATGTGCATACAAAGAGAACCTATTAAATATAACTATTATCCAAATATATACACCAACTCCTAAAACCAAAGATGAAAAAACTGAAGATAATTACTAATTTTTCTATTCTGAAACTGACTGAACATAAAATAAAAATGCATTTAAATAATAGCTGGTTACTGGAATACAAAGATGGAATGGTAGTTGGAAAATAATGACCTTTGTGACGGAAATGGAACTGGAGATCAAAAGATAGAATTTTGTACCATTAATGAATGACTTATTCATTGCAAATACTTAAAAAAAACCCAAACAACAAAAAACAGCCAATCATCACATCGATACAGAGTTGATGAAGAGATTCAGTATCCCCAGCCAAAATAAGGCTAAGGGGAGACTGGAACAAACTGTTACTTATACACAAGTTCAAATTGAAGAAAATGAAAATAAGTTCATGAGAGCCAAAATACCACTTAGAATCCATCCCAGCTGAATTGGTGCACTGAACAAAAATGACTACTTGTGGGATGACATGCAGGACATTACAGATGAAGAAAGCAAAATGTCATTACAAGTAAAGAGTAGAAAGAAAAGACCAAAATGTTTGTCAGAAGGGAGTCTAAAACTTGTAAATAAGCCAAAACAAAGGGAAGACATTTGGAAGAGAGCTGAATAGAAACTGTCAAAGGACAGCTTGAGAAGACAAAGTATTACAATGACATGCCCAAGAGCTTGAATGAGAAAACCAAAAGGGAAGAACACATTTGGCATTTCGGAAGCTGAGAGAAATGAACAAATTCAAGCCTTAAGTTGGAATACTGAAGGATTCTATGGATAAAATTTTGAATGATGCTGGAAGAACCAAAACAAAGTAGAAGAGTCACTACCAGAAAGAATTGGTTGATAGTGAATTATTTCAGATGGCAATATATGATCAGGGAGTTCTGGTGGCCTAACAGTAAGAAACTGCACTGCAATACCAAAGGCATGTAGTTCAAATCCACCAACTGCTCAGTGGGAGGATGGGCACTGGAGGGTTCACTATGGGTCATTTCCAACTCACAGGCACACAACAGCCTATATTCACAAACCAACTGTAACAAATGAAGTCCAAGATACACTGAAAGCATTGGCAAGATACCAACATGCATGTTTCAATAGATATTGTCCTTGACGTGATAGTCTTTATCAGGCTGCCAGAAAATTTGGGCGACAGCTACCTGGTTGACCCTATGTGCTGCCATTCTCAAAAAGGTGATCCTACAGAGTGGATGTTAGTGAACAACATCATTGATATGATCATACAAATAAAATCTTGCAACAGTGTATTTGAATAAAATGGCTAGAACAGTACATTGACAGGGAACTGCAGCTACCAGTTCAAGATCTAGAAAACAAAATGTATATGAATGCATCAATGAAAAGCCAGTGTGATTAGTAATCTTTCACTCAAATAAAAAAGTCTGAGAACACTGAAAATTTATGAGTGTAAAAAGGCACAAGGGAGTTCTGGTGGCCTAGTGGCAAGAAGCTGTGTTGCAATACTGAAGGCATGTGGTTTGAGGCCACTAGCTGTTCACCAGGAGAAGGATGGACAATCTCCTCCCATGTGATTTAAACTGCTTCTCATAACCCACCAGAGGGTCAGCTATGGGTCGGTTCAGACAACAAAAAAAATGACACAACTGCCTATTAATTGTTGGGGTTGTCCCTGAGAAGTTCTGCTTATCTAAAGACTGCATGCCTTTCTGGTGGCTTAAAATGGCTAGTGATTCCAAAGGAGAAAGATAAGCTATCTATTCCCATTCTATATGTAGGCTTAGCAACTCTCTGGAGGGTCAGCTATGAGGCATTTCTAACTTGAGAGCAATGACTTTGGACCTATCAAAAGCCATTTGCCAGTATCTGTCAAAATAAATGTCTTCTGATACAGCAACTCCAATTATAGATTTTTCTCACTTAAGTGAAAAAAAGACCTTTACTCACAGTTAATGTGCATTAGCTACAGTAGTAAAAGATAGAATAAAAATATCAGAAAGGACTTCTCAAATAGAGTACATTCACTCTGTCAGAAACATGGTTCTGTGTCAAAACAGAAACAAGGCTGAACAAAAGATCTTAACAAAGCATTTTACTTCTGCAGAAGGATCCTGTGGGCATACCTCCGCTTGGGTTTTTATCCCTGAGGCAAAACCCAAGGCTGTCTCTGACCCAATTACTGGTCAAGGGTTTCAACTTCAGTCTTGTTTACTATTTTGACCTCTGCTTAAAAGGAGGGGACTTAGGGATGTTTGGAATGTATTTGTTTCAGAGGATGATAGGGCATCAGGAACTGGCTTTGGATGATTCCAGAAGTAGAAAGACAAGGGAGTTTCTCTTAGTACTTTTCAGAAGAGCATTCTTGTTTCAGCTTTAACTCCATCTTGTAACTTTTAAAGACAAATACATATATTTTTCTTTCTTACAACACAATTAAAACTTTATACATGGAACCCCTAAGGCTATGGCTCTTAGACAACTTTCAAACCTGCTATTAATCTCATTCCGTGAGTTCACCTTTTCAGCCAACTAATAGACATGCTTATCTAGAGTATCCATGAAGAATGTGCTTCTCAGAACAATCCATTATATGAAACCAAAAGGGCAGCAGCATCATGCCTCAAAAGAAACTTGAGAGAGAAGGGAGGGACAGGAAAGATGGGCAAGGGAGAGGACTGCTATACATCCAAGGGATTGTAACTCATGTCTTGAAGAAAACTGAGTACAAACTGTTGAATGGGAAACTAATTTGCTCTGTAAATTTTTCCTCAACCTAGTCATCAGAAGAAATAAAAAAATTCTTCAAAACAACTATGAGATCTCACCCCAATAAGAATAGCAAAATTTAACAGAACAGCAAACAAACAAATAATGCTGGTGAGGTTGTGGAGAAACTGAAACCCTTCTTTATCCACTGTTGGGAGTGTAAAATGGTGTAACCACTATAGAAGACTGTATGGAGCTTTCTCTAAAAGTTGCAAAGAGAAATACCTTTTGACCCAGCAATTCCACTACTGGGAATATACCCCAAAGAAACCATAACCACCACCTAAGCAGATACATGCACACCCATGTTTATTGCGGCTTTGTTCATAATAGCAAAGAGTTGGAAACAACCTAAATGCCCATCAACAAATGAATGGACTGAGAAGCGCTGGTATATTCACACAATCACACAATGGAATAAAATGCTGCTTTGAAAAACAAGGAACTTATGAAATATTATACAAAATGGGTGACCCTGGAGGACATGATGCTGAGTGAAAT